ATACATATGTTTTTTCAATAAACTTTTTAAATGGTAATATTGACAATATAAACTTTGCTATAATATTTATATAGACTGTTAATTTGTTTATTTACTTCATTAACTTTTTTTATTAATTCATCTTATTATGCGTATAGTCTAACTTTATAAATTATATGTCATTTAAATGAATCTATACTACTAATTTATAAGGTTTTACCATTTGGGGGAGCTAAATTTTTATTTTAATTATGAAACTAATCTTTCTTATCATTTTGCAGCTATATGTTTGATGGAGTATGGCTGGAAATTAAATTACAAAAAAAAAAAAATTATTTTTTATATTATAATGTAACATGATCTGTATTATAATGTTTGTACTTATTACATTTATTAATATTTTTTATAACTTTAATTACTTATTCAATTCATAATGGAATAAAAAAATAATAATATATAGTTTTTGCACAAAAATAATGATTGTCACGTTTATATATATAAATGAGAATATGAAACATAAATGTGGGATTAACTAAAAAAAAAATCTTTTTAATTTAGCCATTAACTAATTAGGTTTAACTAAAAAAATCTTCTTAAATGTGGGATTAATGAGTAATTAATTAAAAAAATGTAACTCCTTTTGAAGGGAAAGTGAAAATATTTTTATTAAATGTTCTATTAAATAGGATTAGCTAGTAATTATATATATATAGATTTTTTAACTCACACAGAGCAAAACACGAAATCGATTTTGCCACCATTTGGGACGTAAAGTCGCTTCTTTATCAGCTTCCGGCATGAAAAATTGCAACAGCAACAGCCACGAGCATAGACCGCCGTCAATTGGCCAGCAATCGGCGCCGCCGGCGTACTTTTCCGGTGACACGCTTCTTTGTTTGTGTTAGGTCCTTGCGTTCAGTGGTCTCTCGTGCCCTAGCAACTATCCTCTCTCTGTAAGCTCTCTCGTTTTGGAGTAATTTTGCCCCTTGCTTGCAAAAATTGAGCTTCTCATCGGTTAATCACGCGGCTTCTCTGTTTAATTGTTTCTGAGCACTGATTTTGCTCGTTTGCTTTTGTTGAATTTTTTTATTTTTATTTTTTGTCAAGGGACCTTCCGATTTTTGGATCCACATGGGAACCGACTAATCCGGAATCGAGCCGGGTAGGACTACAAGGGCGGCAAAGCTCTCCCTCAAGAGTTTTAATACTGCTGCATTCCCAGAGCTCGAACACGAGACCACTGGTTAAGCTGGAAGAGAACCAAGCCATCTCATCTAAGCGTGGATGCTTTTGTTGAATTTTCGGGTTACTTGTAAAATTACTACTGAAGAGCATACAGATAGAGCCCCAATTATATCTGTAATAATAATATTCATACAAAAGGAGGTCCAAATGTAAAGTTATAGCCTTTTTATATAATGTAATAATAGCAGCAGGTTTTGATTCAATGTTACTGTATCTCATTTTCCATACACTATAGGGGTTCATAGGAGACACCTTGTGAAAAATGCTTGTGAATTTGCTCCTTTTAGATGTACAATTTTTTCTTGGTAAAAATGCCCAATCAATGTCACGATATCTCGCAAATTGATCTCGAGCCCCAACCCGCCTCGATTGCCAGCCAGCCGAGCTTGATCTTGAAGACAGATCATCGATCGGTCGTGTGCAGAAATCTATCTTTGTAGTAGTCTTGTGCTTACATATCATTATCTTGTATTAGTTAAAACATATATAACTATTCTCCTATCGGGGAGAAAACGTAACGGTACCCTCAGAGGGCGGCAAAGTCAACATACTGTTGACCATAGTACACGAACCGGACGAGTGATAACTCGAGGATGTTTTGCTGATGTCCATGAAGTCCGAAACGGAGCTCGGCTTCGTTATCGCATTCTCGTCAATGTCTTTCTTGCCGCCTAGCATTTGGACAACGGCGGACATGGTGGGCCGGAGTTTGGCGGCGTCCTGAGTGCAGAGGAGGCCGATTTTCAAGAATGCACGAGCCTGTTCTATGTCGAAATCCCCGTTCAGCGACTGGTCCACCATTGACTGTAAGTCGTTTTTCTCGTAAAGATTCCATGTCTGCAATAATAATAATAATAATAAGTTCAAAGTATTCTTGGCAAAAGATTCGAGGATGTGTTAAATTAAACCGTGTTTCGTGCATACGAGTTCAAGAATGGATTGCTCGCCGGGCGGTAAGCGCATGTTGGTGTTACGCCTCCCGCTGACGATTTCAAGAAGAAGGATGCCATAGCTGTAAATATCCGCTTTACGTGTCACTTGGCCTCTCACTGCATATTCCGGAGCCACATAACCTCTGCAAGCAAGCAACCGGTATAGATTTCAAATTTCTATATACTGATGATTTGCATATTTGCATGGTGTAGTGCTTTCAAGACATAAAAAAACCGAAAAATCGGATCTCTTTCACGACTCACATTGTCCCGGCCACACGCGTGCTGATATGACTCATGTTGGGCTGTATGAGCTTGGCAAGGCCGAAATCCGAGATCTTAGGGTTCAAATCCCGGTCGAGAAGAATATTGCTGGCTTTAATGTCTCGGTGGATGATGTGTGGCCTCACTTCCTCGTGAAGGTACGCTAGCCCCCTTGCAACCCCGATGCAGATTTTAGCGCGCATCTGCCAGTTAAACTGAACTCTGCTGCTGTTTTGTACACCTGTGTAAAAGACAATCAAAATCGTTCTTACACGTAAAATCAACTTTAATTCTCTATTCACCAACTCACATAAGTTTAAGTAACCATCAATTTACATTATCTGCTTTTTTTTTTTTTCTCGACCAAAATTTATAAGTATAAGTTGGTATATTACCGACGAGCTTATCAGCTAGGCTACTATTTTCGAGATAGTTGTAGACGAGTATTCTTTGGTTGCCTTCCACGCAACAACCGTAAAGCTTCACCAGATTCTCGTGATTGACATCCGAAATCACTTGAATTTCGGTCAAGAACTCTCGTAACCCTTGTTTTGACACAGACGAGAGGACCTTAACCGCGGCCATCCGGCCATTCCTAAGCTTGCCCTACTAGTCAAGATTAATTTTTCACCTTCAAATCTCTAAGGACAAAAAGTCATTTGAAGTATTTATGCACAATAAACTCAAGGATTACCTTAAAAACGGAACCAAATCCTCCCTCGCCGATTTTGTTCGCCGGACTGAAATCATCGGTGGCGGTTTTCAGCTCCTTATATGAGTAAAGGTTAACATTGGTGACTCCCGAGAGCTCTGTGTGTTAAAGGTTGAGACTTTGTTACGATCATTAAAGAGCTCATGCAAAGCACAAAATGAGATAAAAAAAAAAAAAAAAAAAAAAAAA